TGGATTTAAAGACTAACTGAAATTATGCTGAAAATCACAGCATTTCTTTGGGCAGTAGGAGGTGGACCGTCCTGTGCTCCAGGCCGGAGCTGCTGTTCCCACCACCACGCTGCACATCCCTGCTCCGGGACACGCAGCCCGATGCCTCTGAGATGCTGGAGAGACAGAGCTACCAGTTCCGAGCTGCACATCCTGCTAGGAGGATGAAGAGCCAAAGCTCTCTAGGCCCTTGGCCCCTGGCTTTCCCTTCTGCGGCCCTGTGAAACACTCAGTCCAATTGAGTGCTTACAAGATCGAGCACACAGAAAATAAAATTTCACTGCACTGATTACGTGTTTTCCTCCCATAAAAAATAAAATTGCAAGGAAGGAAGACCAGACCATTTCAGATGATAATAATAAGAAATGATGAAGTTTTTACAGTGAAAGGCCAATCCAACTATGAAATCATGATCCTCAACTTTGCTTCAGCACTGCAGGCCCTCCTGTAAAAAGGAAAGGATTTTCTACAGCTCGCAAGGAAATTTCTATCACTGAAGACAGCCCCCAGTCGACAGGGAACAGAACGTGATCTAGGCAGGTTTACGGTGCCTTTCAAATAAAACCACGGGGAAAAGGCAAATAAAAGGAAGGGATAGGGAATAAAAAGTTATAAAATTGCTTTTAAATCTCAGAAAATAAAACAGCAGAACATTTTGCTCATGTATTTATACATAATCTCATAATATTCTGTTTCACAAACTTATTTAGGAGAAAGCCTAGGTTGTTCATAGCACAAATCATTTATAGTATGATATAAAGGCAGAGAGTGAATCATTTTGTTGCCAACCAGCTCAGAGGTCCCCATGACATTGTGGGCTGCTGGCTAAGGTTAAAGCAGCGATAACTTGAGTTTCCAGAGTCTCCTGATGCATTTTGCAGAAACAGAAAGTTGCTAGAAACCAGCTGCTTTGCAAGTGCGGTGGCTAAGGTGCTAAAACGTTATATAAATAAATAAACAGAAATGCAGTGTTTGTGTTTCTGCAAGGGATAAGCCCTGGGACTACATGTATATTAGCAACACTGAATTACCCGTTTCGGAAGACGGTGGCCCACGTTATACGAGAGCAAGGATTCAGTGAAGCAGCCGGGTTAGGTCTAAGCTTGTCCAACCTCATGGCAACTCTCCAAGCCCAAGGCTGGGAGCGTCACCTCGGCCTGGCTGCGACGAGCGGCCGCCCCCAGGAAGGCCCTTGGGGCACCAGGAAGGCCCTTCTGCCTCCTTCCCTCGTGCCCTGCACAGGAGCTCGTGGGCCCAGGGCGCTGTGCAGGGGTTTGGGCTGGGAGGCTCGCTCTCCGAGTCCGTCCTCTTGGTTTTACCCCAGAACTGAGCAATAATCATTTGGACTCTCAGTTGCCCTTTCAAGAAGGAGCAAAGTTGCCTCAGGCACAAGTGCAGCAGCGAGCTCCCAAATAACCTCTCCTCCAAAGGAGGATTTAAAAAAGTGGGACACCACCAATAAAATAATTCCATCCTTCCGGCACAACCATCCTCTGCCAGCCCCCTGTGCTCCTCCAGGAGGCAGCTCAATTATAACAAGAGTTCAAACCCAATTTGAACTAGAGCTTTCCCACCTTTAAAACGCCCCAGGCAGCTCGGAAACAGGAGGACACAGCAGCCCTCCGAGCGAATTCCCGCTCGGGAGCGGATCCGAGGAGCAGCGCTGCAGCAAGGCCCGTGTCCGTGTGCGGCTCAGCACGCTGGGATGGGCAGGGAGGATGTGCTGCTGCTCACGGTTAAACACAAGCGCCAGCAACAACCGCCCGCACCGGCTTCCTCATGCATCCGATCGGACTCTCCGCGCGTTTCCCAGCCCACCCTCCCCTGCAGAGCTGTGGGACAAGGCAGCGCCCGCGGGGCAGCCAGTGAGGAGGCACTTGGAAAGGAAACAGCCCATTTGCAAGCAGTTCGTGCAATGAGCTGGGCATTTGGATCTTAGGAATGCTAGCCTGGGATTTTACGGAGCACTTCCATGTGGGAAGTTCACGGTGCAGGCTTTACAAGCAATGCTAACGCTGCAGTGTTCGCCTGCGCTGCAGGAAGTCCCCCTCACTGAGGAAAGGGAGGCTTTGCACATCGTGGTGCCCAGAATCCCATCTCCTCGGAAAGGCCTCAGGTCCATGGCTGGATCTGTCCTCTGGGTGGATCTGTCCTCTGGGTGGACAACCAGCTCCAAATGAAAGGTTTTTTTGGAGTCTTCTCCCACAAAACTAGCTCAGAAGCACAGTAAGCAGGAGTCCTGCACTGGCCTGGTCCCATCCTAACTACATGTGCAGACCAGGATGTTTAAGGTCAACAGCAGGAGAGCGGAAGGATGAAGACGTAACTCAGCAAGGCAAGTGCTGTGCAAGAAAAACACAGATTCATGCCTCACTCTGGAGCTTCCTCTTCTGACCCTATTTCCCCCATTAAAAAAAAAGCTCTTTCCCTACATACCAACTATAAGAAATGAGCACAAGGAGTTGCAAACTGACTTCACGTAGGCTGGTGCTACCTACAGGAAGCCACCACTTTTGTAAACAAATAAAACCACACATGGACTAAGATATGTACTAAGATCGTCCACATTTGTGACCAAGATGCTTGTTATTAGTCACAGAGAGCAGCCACATCACTCCCTGCCCCTGCAGCTTGACCCAGCACATGCCCTCCTCCTGCAGGGCTCTTTGCTCACAGATCGGGCTATTATTAAAAAAAAAGTTTTAATTTTAATAAAATATGCTCCGTTTCTTACATCACAAGATACTTGTGACTGGAAGGCAATGCCTGCAAGGCTCTGTAAATAAGGGAGCAGCGTTTACCTGGGGAGCTGGTGAGAGCCCAGCCTATCTTGGCTGCAGCTGTAATGCTGAACCAGGATCGTTTGCTGGAGCATCTGCTGCGAGTGAGGTGGGACAACTGTCCCCTTTGAGCAGGCACTCCGTGAGCCCTCACCTTCGAGATGGAGCACAGGAGCATTTCCAGCTTGCTAATGCACCAGCAAAGAAACGCCCTTCTGCTGCAAGAGGATCCGCGCGGCCAGACTCCAAAGGCAGCTGGAGACACGCAGACAAGCCCTTGTGCTAGATCTTAATCTTGGCAAGATTAAAACTTGAGAAAAAAAGGAAAAAAAAAGGCGCACAAAAGCAGTGGAATTGGGAAGATCACAGCTCTAGAGAGCTCTCCATAGGGCAGGGCAGGACCCCCATGTGAGAGGTTCAAGACGAGAGCAGCACAACAGCACGAATGGTGTCTCGGACACTGAGGGTTTCACCCCATGTGCACAGCTACCCATTACTGCAGCGGAACAAATAAGACACGTGAACATTTTGGCCATCTCACTGGCCTCCGGGTTGTGCTTTTCTCTATGTAGAAAGCATTGGATGACGATTTAAGGCTCTGTTGTATTCAAGAAATGCTACATAAGATGATTTATATCCTGAATATTTTGTGTTTTTGAGAGAGAGAACAAACTCCGAGACTAACATAAGTCACAGGTTCATCCCACAGGGATGTGGATATCTCTCTGAAGCGGGTTCAACGTTATGAAAGCATTTAAAACGTCTGAGGTGTTGTTTGGCCAGCAACTCATCTACTTAGAGCAAACAAAAGTCACACGGTGGGATTTAATATTGTCAAGTCAGCCGTTTTTACCCAGTCAGCTGCTACCACATTTGTGTTTTTCAGGTTTTTCTTTTGACTGCTTTTCTTTTTCTTTTCCTTTTCTTTGTGTTTTTTTTCTTTTGGCTGCTTATCCCCCTGCTTGGAACACAAGTTCTCCAAAAGAAGTTTAGTCTCTATTAACAGATTGCTTAGCTAACTCCCATTCCCATAGCAAAACTGGATTAACACAACAGAGAAGTATAAAAATACAAAGTTAGAAAGATCATTTTCCAACCAATGCACAGGCAGAAAAGAGGGATAACACTGAAGTCCTTTTTCTGACTATCACTGCATTTTAAAAATTACAAAACTGGTATTGGAAAGAGAAGGGAAGAGCCTGGGAAATCTTTAGATACAAGGGGAAACAGGAGGCTACAGCAGTAACTGAGCACTTCACTTTTAATGGGATCAGCAAGGGGCAGTTCCCGTAACGAGCGTTCCTGCAACAGCAGATACTCTGACTGGAGAATGTACCGTATCTCAGACCCCTGCACAGAACACCGTGGGCAGATAAATCATCTGGCAAAGCAAAACGGGTCAAAATTAAGAGTTTAAGATTTTCTGTGTGCAAAACACCCCTTCTGTTAATAAGTGGACCAATTTGGATTTACATAAAATATTCAGGTGCTTTTTTTTTTTTTAAGTTATAATAGCATAAATACTCTGTTATCATTGGTACATTCCTTTCTCATACTAGGTTTGTAATAACTTAATATATTTAATATTTAGTTAAACCATTTTTAGTAGATGCTTTGGCAGTCAAATTCTTACATATTCTCTATTTCTACAAAAGTATTTAGGTGCATTTTTTGGAAAAAAAGATCTGGAGACCACTTAAGAGTTATATGCTGTACAAAACAGCAGTTCAAACCATCACTGCAATTGCTGTAAAAGACACAGTTAATAAAAGAGTAGAAAAAGGAATGCATATTTGCTAGAAGATACCCAACATTCCCAGGAAGGAAGAATATACATTTCCACCTTTTTTTGTTTTCTTGCAAGCAAAGTCGGAGAAGGATTGTCAGTTATTATAAAACATTTCACTTATTCCAGTTTATGCAATAATTGTGATTCCTACGCTCTACATAGCAGTGTTATGAAACTCTTTGTACAGGTATATTCCCTGGGACACTGTTTGTTCATGACAATTAGGAAAGGTTTTAAAAAAAAGGTTAAAAAACCTCTTCAACTATTAGTTTTGTCCGATGGCAAAGTTATAACCTAGCACATTATGCAAATTGGCAATGGTTATTTCCTCACTATAAAGTGACTACTGCACTTTATTTGTAACAGATAAGCAGGAGGGGGAAAAAAAAAAAAAAAAAAAGGGACCTTCTGAGTCTTCATACTGAGAATTGTCTCGTTGGGCAACAGAGTGGAGCAATTAGAGTCCATAAATACAGAAAGACACAAACCCAACAGGAGACCATCTTAATCCAGAAGATGGACCAGGTCCCAGTGAAGAAATTTTCAATCTGAGCACTTTCATAACTGTTAAAGAAAAAGAAAAGGCAGTAAATTCACTCTGCACATGCCTTCAGATCTCAGACTGAAGTACCCTCTGCTTTCCCGAGGGGGTCACAGACTTCAAGTAATGTAACCCAGACCTGATGCAGGGGAGAGCAGTTCTTTGCAAAAAGCCCTTGCTCAGGAATCCCCCAGGAGAGATTTGGATCCTTTCTTCCAGCCTCCCACTTTAGGAGAGGAGACACTCATCTAATGGTAGAAATTCCCATTCGTATCTCCCCTCTCTTAATAGACATTAATTTCTCGACCTTAAAGAAATATACTTACTGGAACCAGTGAGTTACTGTCATCATCACATACAGTGAAGCCAAGAAGAAAACAAAGTGGAAGTAGGAGTAGCTGTACACTGTGCCTTTCTTTTCATCATATATCACAGCCTGGCCTCCCCTTTTTTCAGTGTGTTCCTCAGCATCAGCTGTAAGAGATGGGAAACAAACAAAAACATTTGCAATGTAATGAGAAGAGCAAACTGCAGCAGCTGGTTTCACAAAGCACAGAAGAGATAGCAGCAAAAAGTCCCCGGTGTGATTTAGCAAAGCCTGGTACAGAGCTGCACTTGAACACCTTCTTGCCCTGAGGGCATGGACCTCAGCTTTTATTCAAATAAATGGGACTGCTCCTGAAATGCTGCACTATATCAAGTTCCTGATCTACCAGATGTTTCGGAGTACATGGAGCATTTTAAAGAGTCTACCTGTAGGATACTTTGCTGGAGGAGCTACAGAGCAGCTGACCCCACAAACCTGGTAGTCACAGTACAAGCATGCAGGGAGCAGGGATTCCTCTGCATGGTTATACTAAGGAGCCTTCCTTTGAGAAATTATTAACTAACTTGCTGTTTTAAAACAGTACTGTTGTTTCTTATTTCCCTTCCTTCTGTAATGTTTTGCCTGAGTAAATCAGCTGCTCCAGTTCGATACACTACTGAATTAGGAGAGAGGAATCTCTCCATCTGCAGCTGTATTTCCTTTGGTTTGTTCTGAAAGCCACCAGCTGGTGGCTGCTGAGCTGGGCAGTGAGCAGGTAATTACCATCTCCGTCGGGCATGCAGCAAAAGCAGCAACGAGCTACCTGTGAGAGAGAAAACAGCCAGAGTAAGTGGTGCTGAACAACCAAGACACAAAACAGCTGGGGAAGGAGGTCTCTAAACTGCAGACATTAGCTTAGAAAAATTTACTTTATTTTTCCAACACTAAACTCAAAGAAGGATTTGCCAAGTAGTTCCCAACAGCAGTTTCTCAGCTTTGGAAAAAACTACTCAGTAAGCTTTGGTGCAAATTAATCACTCTGCAAGAACAATGCTATTGAGACATTTTAGCTAATGCAAGATCTAATCTGGTTGCAGTAATACAGTGCAAGCAAGCTATGGTAAACTGCTTGAAAAGCTCCAATAAAATGGCTGCACATTTACACTTCAGAGGGGATTTATGTCCTTAGACTAGCATCTTATGTGCTTAGAAAGTAAAAACTCCCAATTGAAATGAAGATGCAAGGAACTTCTGATATTCTGCTGTATCGGGTGGAAACCATTTGCAAAATCCTAAGTCTGATATGTATCCATCTGTATTGCAATGGAGCCAGAATGAGTATAAATAACAGACTGTTAACTCTTCATTTAAATGAGCCTTATGTTTTATTTTTTTTAAACTGATAGAAAAAAAAGGAGAGCTGAAATTGTTCACTCATGGGTCTGATGCTTCTTGTGTTGAGTGGTATTATAAATGAAAAAAATGCTGACAGTACAATAAATATGTAACTAAGTGCATTTTCTGCAGCAGATCTTGGTACAAGTCAGCACTTTCTGTACCACATCACCAGCATTACTCTCCTGACAGAATTTTTCTTTGAGGTTTAATTTTGTAGGGGCCTGATAATGTATTAAAAAAAAAGTATAATAGGCTTTTAAGTTTCAACTTTCAACAGAACTATTTCTCTTGTGCATACCTATGACTACATATTCTCACTGGGTTCATAAATTAATTAAAAGCCAAAATACTAACAGATTGGCTGACAATATAAATAAAACCTTTTCTTCATGTTCCAATATAATAAGGGCTTCTTTCTACTGTTATGCTGTTTGCAGTTTAGTTTCTCTTCAGCTGTATGAGGGTTCTGAAGCACTGTTGAGTTCCCCCAAGTTACAAGCATAGCTGCATTTACTACAAATTAAGCCTTAGTCCATTCAGTGATACGAGCAGCATTGCTGGCACATGTACAACTCGTTGTCTTCAGCTTGGACATCGAGAGCCTTTCTGACTAATACAAGCAACTGCAGAATTGTGTTTACATTTCTGGGGCGAAGACAAAGGCCCTTTATCACAGAGAAGACAATCAGAATGCAATTAGTTGCTCTCTGCCTGTCATTTCTTTATATTGGCACTCGGCAGCTCTTGTGGAGCTCTTTAGAGCCAAATGGTCCAGAAATAATCCCTCGGGCACGCGGCGCAGCGCGAGAGCTCGGCCTCCTCCGCGAAGGGGCCACGCGCAGCCGCCAGCGGCTCCGGAGCGATGGTAGGAAAACAGGAAAGATAAACTCAGGTGAAATTGTGGGTGAAAAGAAAGGTGAGGTATCATATAAAAACTGTGTGTGTAAGTAAAAATAAGAGATAAAACACTGATCAAAAGCACCAATACTGCTGTTAAAATACAATCTGATTTAAAATGTTCAAATAAAAATAAAATACGCCCCACACTCCTAAGTCGCTTGCAGTTGCTTAGTGCCCAGCAGACTTTTGTCTTAAATGAGAGAAAGAATGGGAAGATTATTTCTGTTCATAAAGGCACATCCAAGAGCTGCAGACAGGCCAGCGTGGACCCAACAAATATTCTAGAATTCCATACCTAGAGGCAAATAATCCATGTGGTAGCAAAAAGCTTTTGCTTCTACCTGATTACAGTTTAGTTAGTCATAAAAACAACAGGAGGAAAATCATACAAGGAAGCCTGCCCAGAAATCCTGTGGGAGGAAACAAGAACTCACCTCAGTGTCAGGTGTTGCATAGATTCCTCTCAGTGCTTCAGAGCTTGCACGTGTGGTTGAAGTTAAGCTAGGAGCAAAAGACAGAGTCAAAACCCACAACGCAACTATAAGCTTAAAAGGGTGATTTTTCAGCACCACAGGAAACACAGCTGTCTATTCTCGTTTTTGAGCTAAGCGATTGCCCAGATACAGCATCAAATGCTCCGCACATGATAAGTTTGTTCTGCACCAGCAGAAACCAACTCGACAGACAACCACTGGCTGGCGCAGACCCAAACACAGGCTTAAAAGTAGGTCACTCCTGAAACGTGCTGAATCTATCACCAGCAAACGCCAGAGACGACAGCAAAGCATCCCAAGCTGCTTTTCCAAACAGAGCTCCTCCTCTGTAAACAACTGGTACTTTTATATTAACTTCCCAGCTACCACTTTTGGCTCAGCACTTAATAAAAGGTTTTGAAATGAAGGCTTTGCCAGGGGAGTAACAGGTCAATGACAGCAGGAGTGAATTACCAAGCAGTTCTGTGAGTATCCCAGGTGCTGGAAATCACTTGTTTGTGTGACTGCAGCTGTCCGAGGGAATCCTTTCTAGGTTCTTTATACTAGAAGCTTCTCTGTCTGGGAAAAAATTTCTAAGCATTCTGAAATTCAGTACCCATATGAATGTCCCAGCTCAATTCTGTGCTATTTCTAGACATTACTTCATTAGCATCAGGCTTATGATAAGCCTTCATTAGTGTGACCATGACATTCCACTTAGAGTGAGGTAACTGCAAACTCCAGACTTACCAAGAATACAAAATGCAGCAGAAGAGAATGGTAGTACCCAGGCCAGTGACGAGGTTTTCATCTCTGTGCAGCCCTTGGCTAAATTCGGGTACGCAGATTGTGATGTTCTCATTGTTTTCATCCAGGACTTCACAAAAACAAAACAAGCAAACAAGAAAGTTACTGAAGTTCACTTCATTGTATTTCAAAGGTGTTTACAGACTGAAAGTTTTCAGCAATATAGTTTTATTAGTTCAGACATTAGGCAGGGACATGCAGGTCATTTCCTTCTTCCTCTTAGGAGGATCAAACAAAGAAATCCTGTACGCCTGTCCTGGCAGATTCTGTGTTTCAGGCAGGACAAAATGCAAGTTAGCAGGGCACTGAGGTTTTCTGCTTGTCAGAACAGACAAACACATGCAAAAAGGCTGGTGAATCAAGTAATGAGAAGTTGAAAGTTTCCCAGCACTTCACCACAAGACTAAAAGGCCACATAACACAGTTATGGTCTGAAACCCATCCCCTTTAAAACCATTCAGCGGGGATCTTTGAGGAGAGCTACGAAATTCATACTCAGTGGAAAAAGAAATTGCAGTGTTTGCTTTCTCTTTTCTTAGACTGAAACACGGAACATCAAATAAACAGAGCTGCATTGGCTACAGTCAAGATTTTATTTTAATATCTAAACAAATACTGCTCTGAGGTTCCTGAAAGGAAACCACAGTTTAGTCCTTCGCATTCAAAGATGCATTCAGCTTTTTGGCGTCTGCTTTGGGTCAGAGCAGAGCAAAGCAGCAGGCCCAAAACAGGTGATTCCTGCTGCACTTTATATCAACCAAGAGCTTCCTGAGCTCATGCTATTAAAGCAAACTGTACCCCAACCTCCTCCTCTCCACAGCCACACGGTAACTCTGCTGCTGCCGCACAACTTTGTGTTTGAGGCCAGAGGGCAAAAATGCAGCAAAGACTACACCTAGATTAAAGATAAGCCTGGAGCCAGGCCCCCTGCCCTTGTTGCCTGGCGTGCTGCATGAACGGCTTTATCAGCACAGCACAGGGACAGGATGTAAAGTGTAAATGTGTAAGTGTAAATGAAGGGAAGGCAAGACTAAGGAATGCTTTGTCTGGAGGCATGTGGAGTCTCCCACTTGTCTATCAGGCACATTTAATCCTTTCAGTAAGAAGGGATATTGCTACACCTCCCACCAAAAAGCAAAGGCACAGAGGGATAAGCACATATTAAAAAGACTTTTTTTGTTTGCCTATGCCTTTTAAAATCATTTTGCAACTCTGTTTTTCAGGTATTACAAATAAATACACGTAAACAGCATTCCCTGTGCACCCTGCCCAGTTTGTGAGATGGCAGAAGGTGCCTTGAAGGTGTCTGCTTGAAGAATAAGCCGAGAGGTCTGTAGTACATCTGAAGCCCAGGACACGGGAAGACATTAGAGAGTGTCAGCTCCCCATACACTCTCTAGGCTATGTGCTATATGCAGCACGCGCCACTGCACAGGCCAGTATTACAAAGACACAAGTAAATGAAAATCAGGAGTGACATCTTAAACAACTGCAACGTAACTCCAAAACATTTTTCAAGATTTTTCACTCTCTTGTCTCACTCTTGAGACAAGCAATACTCAAGTTTCTATTTCACAAGGAACTCAGAGCTCAGGCTACCTAGCATATCAATTATAAGATAAGAGAAATGATTTCAGTGTCATCTCTGGCAGACAGCATGGCAAGCACAGAACAAAGCCACTGGGGTGCAGCAGACCCACTGACCAGTGGTGGCTAATCTTTTGGATGGAGCTGGCCACCTATCTCTTCTACAGGCAACCGAGAACTACTTGTTCCAGCTCTTTCCCCATCGTGTGATCAGACCAGTTACACACCTAGTCGTGTCCTGTTAGGTAAGGACATGCACTTGCCACACAAGTGACAGGCTGCAGGACTCCACGTAAGCTGTCATTAGGAAGGAGGCTGGAATGATTCTGGCATGTCAGACTCAACCTACCTGATGCAAGTTAAGCTCCCCATATATTTTAGATATAGGGAGGAGGCCAACTGCACAGTTTCTCATGTTGCATAGATTTATTTTTAGCATTAGCAATTTCTCATTCATAGGCTAAAGCAGCTCAAAACCAGAACTCCTAAATTCAGGAGAATTAAGGCTTGCTAAAGATCTTTTTACTTTTAATACTTGGCATGTCTCAAAGGATTTAAATAAAGCACTAGAGAACTTACTGGTTTCTGGAGGCTTGCTGGATAATGCTGAGAAGGTGAGGTACATGACGTAGCAGCTGATGATTCCCGATTGCAGCAAACCAGAGTGGGGCTGGCCTTTAGTAGAAAGAGGGCAAAAGACAATTTTTGTATGCATTTTAACAAACTGAAAGGGAATTTCAAATCTTTTAAAAACATTACATTAAAACCTTTTGACAGAGGAGAATATCTTTTACGTTTTATTTCAAGCAGTTCCTATACTTTGAGGCAGCTTAGATGCATTTTGTCTGGTGGTTTAAGACGCTTAAGATTTTGTCCTTTAGTTCTGCAGGTTGTTTTAGAAAGGCATTAAGATTTCCATGTAAGTAAAGGATCGCCCCTCTGCTCTAGCCAAAAACTTCAGCTTTCCAGAAACTACTGACAGGCTGCCATGATGGTTTTATTTGCCTGTAAAATCTGCTTTGGAGCCACTGAAATTACTCCCATTTCCTGGCCCAATGATTGATACATACTAACAGTACACATAAAATATTCTGAAAAACCATGATATACAGCTGAAATATCAAGATTTCTGACTTCTGTCAACTCATCTGCATGCCCAAACTTTACAGAGAGTAAATCACAAGCAGTTGAAAGCAGATGTAAGAACTGAATGGGCTCGAGACCTATTACCTCAGCAGTTACCACAGCCTAATGTGCAAGTTCCCCAATGCATTAGCAGCCCTCTGCAAGTGAGCCTTATTTACAGGCTGTCTGATGGCATGCTCAAAACATCTCACATCTCCAGTTTTAGCAGCCGGACTGATGACAAGCACTACTACTTCACAGTGTAGATAAGGAGATCAGGGCAAGAACACCACCAAATCTAAACGTCAGGTCTGAACATTAGATTTTTTGCCCCAAATATGGCACATTAAGGCTTAAGGTAGGTGAACGGTGAGGGCGTCAGCAAAGGCGAGAAGTGAAGAGGGTGGCAGACTCACGGTCCTGCACGCAGGGCGATATGGCCACGAGCGACACGAAGAGGCAGAGGCCGCCGTTAACGCCGAGCAGGATCTTGTTGTACGTGCAGCCCTCGCGGCGCGTGTAGAAGATGGCCATGAGGACGAGGGCGGCCGCCGCGACCGTGTACAGCACCAGCGTGACCAGAGCCAGCAAACCGTTCCAGAGCTGCTTGTGATTCGCGCCTGCGGTCCTGTGGACAAGAGGACAAGCACCTTATCTTCTCCTCCCCTCCCTTTACAGATTAACCCCCCTCTCTGCCAAAAAAACCCAGACTATTCCAGCGAGGAGTGCACTAATTATCAAGCACAAAGAGAGTGCCTGTATCACTGTCTAATAAGGCTAATGTGAACAGTGCCAAAGTTAAATGCTGCTGCTGGAAGCCTCTCACCCGCAGAAAAGCAGCTGGAGCAATTACCAGTAAAAATAGCTGTGGTGTAAGGAGCTCTCATCTCCTCTTCCATGGAAACATATCTTAAAAAGTCCAAGAATCTGCTAAAACCTTTCTGATTAGTCAGTGCGCTAACTGCAATGAAAGAAGGTAGCAAAGGTGGTAGAGGGACAGACAAGAAGAAACAGGAAAAAGGAAAAGAGAAGAAAGAGAAGCATAAATTCATGCATATACATGAGGGAATAATTTAACGTATTTTAATGCATGATGAGATGCTAAGAGATAAGAAGGTGATATTGAATGTACTCACACCAGAATTTAAATCAATGCCAAAACATAGTGTAAGAGGGTTGATAACAGAATCTTGCATAGTCAGATGAAAGCAGGAAAAAAAAAGGCAACTTCCATGTTTTAAGAGGAAAAAAAAAAAAAAAACCCAGGCATTTGATGTATACTAAGTTCAAACCAAAAACAGGATTTACCAGTTGATACCACTAAGCACAGTCTCACTGATATGTTTTGCAAACCAGTTTTATTTTCTTACACAATTCTGTGCCTTAGCAGGTGTGTTTTCATGCAGAACTGAACTTAAGAAATGAGAGGTTTTGCATACAACAACTCACTGGAAAGCAGAACAATTCAGAGCAAGAATAAAAGAGCAGAGGGTATAAACAAATAAGGAAGAAACATCTCCACTAGGGAAGATGGAGAGCAGGTGAAGCAGGGATGCACATCTCTAAATACCAGTATTAAAGCATCGTCTCAGAAATTGCATCCACACTATTCTGAATGCTTTATTCCAAGGGATGCCTCGTTTAGGAGTTCCCCAGAATGTTATGCAAACAGCTACTTGCCCAACACATACCAGTTTTTATTCCACTTGTGTGCAAACTCAACAAGCAGGATGAGCTGAATGGCAATGAAAAGGAACCCTCCCGTTGCTCCTACGTAGCGCCAACCTGCAAGGCAGACAAGCAGAAAATAGGTCAAACCCCAGCTGCCTTCCCCCGCCAGATAAAAGGGAATTATTATCCATGCAATGCAGCCATTGCACAGTTTGAGTATCTCAGGCCCACGGATGTAACAGATGAGGTATTTCAGCTGAAAGGCCAGCTCAGCTAACCTAAGAATAGTGACCTGATGAATTCAGCTTGCAACTTGCTACACCTTCAAAATAAACCTTTTAGGACACATACTGAGACTCCCTAACTTAGAGAATTTTTGTGGAGACAAAGTTGCTATATGCAGACATAAAATACTAGACCCTTTATTTGTGATGTGGGGAGGGAGGAGGGGAAAAAAAGAGCCCTGAAGGCATTTCACAGAAGCCTAAACCCTAAAATTGTAAGGTACTGGAATCTAGCACTAAAAATGGCAGATTCTTTCCCTCATGATTCCAGCACCATGGAAAAATAAAGGTGGGGCTCATGCTCTTTCCCAGCCGCTCCCAGAGAAACAAGAACGTTTGGTATTCATGGAGCAGTAAAAGACAGACAGGGCGTTTGACTGCTTAACTGCTCACCTACATGTGTTTGAAAGGCCATTTGGTGCTTTGTACAACACAAACCTTGTGCACAACTACAGAAGTTTGAGGGAGCTGGACAAACTGGAGGACTGGGCGGTGAGAAACCTCATGAGGTTCAACAGGGGCAAGTGCAGGGTCCTGCACTTGGGGAGGAATAACCCTGGACACCAGTACAGATTAGCGGTGGCCCTGCTGGAGAGCAGCCCCGCAGAGAGGGACCTGGGTGTCATGGTGGATGACAAGTTGACCATGAGGCAGCAGTGTGCCCTGGTGGCCAAGAAGGCCAACGGGATCCTGGGGTGCATTAAGAAAAGCGTCTCCAGCAGGTCGAGGGAAGTGATCATCCCCCTCTACTCAGCCCTGGTGAGGCCACATCTGGAGTACCGCGTCCAGTTCTGGGCTCCCCAGTACAAGAGGGATGTGGAGCTGCTGGAGAGAGTCCAGCGCAGGGCTACCAGGATGATCAGGGGCCTGGAACATCTGCCATATGAGCAAAGGCTGAGAGAGCTGGGTCTGTTCAGCCTGGAGAAGAGGAGGCTGAGGGGGGACCTGATCAGCGTGTATAAATACCTCAAGGGAGGGAGGGAAGAGGAGGGGGGCGGCCTCTTTTCAGTGGTGGACAGTGATAGGACTAGAGGAAACGGCTTCAAACTGAAGCATCGGAAGTTCCACAGGAACTTAAGGAAGCATTTCTTCACTGTGAGGGTGACAAAGCACTGGAACAGGCTGCCCAGAGAGGTTGTGGAGTCTCCTTCTTTGGAAATCTTTAAAACCCGCTTGGATGCAGCCCTGTGCCACGTGCTCTAGGTGACCCTGCGTGAGCAGGGGGGTTGGACTAGATGACCTCTGAGGTCCCTTCCAACCTTGGGCATTCTGTGATTCTATGATTCTATGATTCTAAGTCCCTGGGAAATACGGATACCTTTGAAAAGCTTGGCTGCATATACAGTTTGCATCACTGTGTAGCACGCAACCCATAAGTGACTCTCAGTATTCAGCCAATTTCAGTGGAGAAGACTGATTGAGGAAGTGCATTAGCAAAGTCTGGCCATACCCTAACATTGTATATTCCTCTCGTAAAAAGCTGTCGGAAGAGAAGGGGAGAAACAGAACTGCCAGCGTGTTATGCTTAGAAAAAAATGTAGATTTTTAACTGTACCCTAAGTTCATTGTTTGACTGCAGCAGGCAAAAAAGACATTTTTCTTGTTTTGCAAAATCTATTGTATTCACTGAATGAGCATGCTGCTTTTAAAAGAGGCAGGGAACAGGGTGTGCATGTGTGCTTGGGAGAGACACAATAGCCACCAGCAGACCACCACTGGAGTAATTAAACAGCTAGACTATCTGTGAGGATCTCACACAGAAGTACCACAGGGTACTTCTGGGTGCTTTACAAAGCCATGTAGATAAGGTTAACATCACCAGTGTAGATTTAACACGAGCTCATACAAGCCTAGGACGTGCACATAATATTCCTACCTCCATGACTGACAAACGGCTGAGTGTGGGAATCGTGGCAGGGGGGAATTCTTATTTACAGAAAAAATAAGAAGAGAGCGAGGAGAATGATCCCTCCCCTCCACACACACACACACAAAAAGGAAAATAAAATCCTGTGATCTGCTGTGATCTTACACTGGGGGGCTTTCCTGGAGGACAGCCCAGCAGCACAAACAGAACATTGCTTTGCAGAGAAAAGACACAAACTAATTAGGAGAAGGAAAACAGTTTCTCAGCTACAGTCTATCTAGTGTAGAGATGCAAGAAGAGCAGCTCTCTGACCAGCTGCAGAATCTCTGTTCCTCCCTTCCCTAGGTACCTTAGTTCTCATATCTTTTGTCATGCAAAGGTTGCTTGGGAACATAAGAGGAGAGAATCTTGGTTACCTGTGAGATTACATTAACATTACAATTTTCTAATGCAACTAGTGAACAGATATTGAAGACAAGAGCATATGGGCAACTCATAACTCAGTGAAGAAAAGGAACAGGGATTAGTAGCCCTTCACTTCACCTCATGCTACTCCCTCCTCTTCCCCTTTTAAATACTTTGAGCAGTTTTAAGAGAGGGGATGGCTGTCATAATCATACAGGTCCAGCAGGTTTTTGTAGAACCAGGCAGCTGACAACCCAAATGGTGGCTTGCCCTGGCTGAGGGAGCATCAATGAGCAGCAGAGCTATTGGCCATCAGGAAAACCCATGGATAAGAAAGGCTTCAAGTCAGGCTCCATTTGTATTGATACTCACAGCGGAGTCAAAAACAATCAAGACAAAAATTTAACAGGCTCTAGGAAAGCAGGGAGCAGGTTTTAATCCGCCCCTTTCAGCGGAAGGGATCATGGAAACTAGCGTCCTCCAAAACAAATTCTGATGTTTCCTATTTATGACGGAAAACTTCAGCCTGAAGGTCCCCAGGACAGCAGGGCTCTCCTTGCTCACAGAAGCCACAGAGACAACCCTGACCACGCTGTCCCTTCCCTCTGCTGCTTGGGCATGCCTGGAATTGCCTCAGGTGGCATCTTCCCTGCAGAGGCAACATCCCTGCTCCATTATGGAGCCTTTCATCCACCCACCTGCAGACTCCAAAGTGGGCAGGGCTCACAAACACCCGGCAACCAGCTCATCTTGGTATCATGAGGACTTTTCCTGGTGATGGTATTTAACGTCAGTCCACGCAGGACTGAGCACCAGGCCTGTGCTGGTGGGGCTGACTGGGGCCAGCCTGCCTTCCAAAACTGGAAACGCTTCCAGCATGGGATTATCAACAGCGGGTTTACAACGCTCCACAAGAAGTCTGATTTCACATGATTAGATTTGTGCTATCTGCTTGGAAGCTAGCTAAGCCCCAAGTGCCACCGTGCTCATTGTCCGAGGCCATCTGCATCATTACAGCTCTTTGCTCCTTAAAGACTTGAGGTGACAGCCCAGCACAATATTTTTTCAGCCATTTGACCTCTTCTTGGTTACAAAAAATGGCTTTAGTTACAAAAATACAGCAATGCTTACGCTGTTCAGGCCTTTAGGATCTATAAGCACGATACCCTAACAGAGAAGCACACCCTGACAGAGGAAGAAGGTCATACCGTTGAGAAAAGTGTCCTGGTCAGGAATGAAGAAGGCTCCTGAACACATTGCTGCCAGAAGTATAAGCTTAATAAACCAGAATCTGGAAAATTAAAAAAGAAAAAAAAAACCTAGTTATAAGAACAATTAACAATTCAAGAGCCATAAGAAATCTCTACTTAAAGCCCAACTCTGAAGTGAGAATAAACATGTGTTGGCTGATCGCCATTTAAGTTCATTTGTGCTTGATTAAATTATATCCGACAGAAGCAGCAAAACCAACTCCTTTTCCCTGCCCCCAGTATTACACCTGTCTGGAAAATAAGCAAAATCAGTCTAGAAAGAGGCCTGGGAACCTGGCAAGCAGCCACACACTTACCCGTTGTGAACGTACGCTCGGCAGCTCTTGCTGTTGTTCACTTTGATGGTGAACAAGAAGAAGAGGAAGAAGAAACAGGCCATCCCGAAGCAGACCTTGTAGACGGCAGCGTAGCCTGCCAGCTTCTCGCACATGTCTCCTGCCTGAATGCCCTTGCACAGCGGCTCGTAGAAGGGGATCTGGAAAGCAGAGCAGGTCACAAGCCATGAGAGCGAGCACTGGGCTGTCCCTAACAGACTCTACGTTGAGTCTTTGCACCGCTGGGTTGTCTCCGGTTTCCTCTGACCATGGCACCTTCTGCTGCCACTCTCCCTCAGCACGGACCTAACCGCTCAAGGGACACGATGCTACGTGAAACGCATGTGCCTGGTGTTTGCAGGGCTGCAAGCCTGGGGTACAGGCCCACCCATCCCTCCCTCAGCTCCGACAGCGCAAGCTGTCCTTGCCCCTTCCCGTCCCCCGGGAAGCTGCTCCCCATTGCGTTCATGGCACAGCACGGAGCCTGCAGAGCGTCCGTCGGGCCTGCACGGAGCGGTGCGGGCAGCGCCGTGGGCATTGGCTGCCAAGCTCTGGCTCGTGTCGCCAGCCACAAAAGCATCCAGGGAAGAGTATCCACTGGGCACGGGAGCAGCCGTTCCCCTCTGCTTCAGAAAGGGCACCGCGCCAGCTACCTCAATTTCTTTCTTTTCTTTCTTTCCTTCCTTCCTTCTTTCTTTCCTTCCTTCTTTCCTTCCTTCCTTCTTTCTTTCTTTCCTTCCTTCCTTCTCTCTCTTTCTCCCTCTCTTTCTCTCTCTCTTTCTTTAGAGAGGTAGGAAAATTCTACCTTTTTCTTGTCTTATTAAATATTTGCCTTTGAGGCCCTGCCCTTGCTGTAAGAGGAAAGCAAACAGCTGCACATTTTGGCCTCTGTTTCACCACACGGACGTGACACCGAAGGCCCAAAAAGCAGGTTTCTGTGCCCGGGATCCCTGCATGTGCAGACTCCTTGTGCCAGCTGGTTCCCCTCCCCTCATTGCCTGGGAGCTGTTCAGCTGCTCAGGAATAGAAGCATTTAATTAGAAAGCCACCGGTTGTTTCAAAGACATAAAGGCCCCTCTGTATGGTAGAAACCCCCAGCTGAAGCTGAGGAGAGCAGGAAAACTGAACTATGATGTTGGGCTGGTCTAGATGGGCTAGAACACAGGAAGGTAGAAAGCAGAAGGTTCCAGGGCAGTTGTGCCCTGTTAGAAAAATGGATCCAGGTTATGCCATGCTGAGGTCCTCGTCCAGAAGTAACTTAAGCTGCGCAGTACGTGAGCAGGTCTGACTAACTTGCACCCAGAACTTTTTAGAGAACTCCCAAGAAACCATATGGACCACTGCAATCCCCTTCCTCACTTCAGAAACAAGAATCTTCTGCAAAAGCTGAATTTGGTACCAAACAACATTTTGATTATGGGACTTAAGAAAAAATACCACGGAACTCAATCAACTAGCTAATTCAAAACATTCCTCCAGGTAGGTGTAAATGGTAAACTCTAACTTCGTTTTGTGTAGGTTTCTGAGACCTTGATTTTTGACCCTGTATAGTTTTTTTCCCCTCTCCATTCTGCAGTAATTTCCTTACAGACCATGCTGACAGAAATGGATGGATTCACAAGAACAATAGCCGGGTTTGTGCCTACACGAACAAAGAGCGCGGCCCTTGTGCAGCACGGGGGCCACGCAGGCCCGCGGGGGCCAGCACCCCTTCCTGAGACCCCAGCGATCCCCGAGGAACGAAGCATGAGGCAAACCAAGGCCTTGGGGGCCCGGCAGATAATGAACCCAGCGCTGGGGCTGCTGTAGGGGAGGGACACCACGCGTTCACCAGCCGCTTGGTCTGCGAGGCCGCGCCGGAGCGGCCAGCCGCCACACAGCCCGCCCTGCTGCCTGTGCTCTCCCCATGCCAGGTCGCTCTGCCCCCTTGTAAACCCACGGCAAGCTCGATACGGTGAAATATTTGCCTTTATGCTTTTAGAAGCAACACAATCTAAATGGTTTGGCCTCTGAGCGGGAGGCAAAGCAGCCTTGCCCAGGAACCGTGCCTGTTCGCAGGACATTAATGCCGGCAGCCACAACGATGCTATCAGGGCAAATCAGTAATTATCGGAGCCAAAGCCCTTCGTTGTAATGGCTGCCTCTACATGAGCAGGTACAGACCATGCTGAACTCGCTGTGCTCTTGCTGGCACCTCAAGCAACCGTGTGTGGCCCTGAGCCAAGGCAGCCACGCGGCTCCGGGACGCCAGGCACTGCCAGCTTGGGGCCACCGGTGCTCAACCCTGTAAGTAAGAGCCTCACGGAGAACAGCAGGGAAGAATACACAGCGACCAAGGCACACCAGACCTTCCTCAGCTTGGGTTCTGCTTTCTTTCCTTGTTTTGGCTGATGTTGTACCCCATCTTTTTCCTTCGGATGCAATCTTGTTTCTCTGATCTACTGCACATGCTAATACTCGGATCATTTTTCTAGCCAACATTATCCTTTCCCTTACCACCCCTCCAATGATTCTTGCCTCTCCCTCAGATATCAAGCACAAATACTTTGACTTCTTTCAATACTTTTCTTCATCTAACCCTCCACACCTATGTCCCATGGTCCCTAGACACACAGAAGCAGTCCAGGAAAGAGGGAAGACAATTGAAAAGAATGTAGAAAAAGCTCTCCAAAAATACAGTATGCCTTCTTTCACAGCAGCAAGTGCAAGGTCCTGCCCTTCGGGATGAATAACCCCAGACACCAGTACAGGCTGGGGACTGACCTTCTGGAGAGCAGCTCTGTAGAGGGACCTGGGGTTGTAGTGGACAACAAGATGACCATGAGGCAGCAGTGTGCCCTGGTGGCCAAGAAGGCCAACGGGATCCTGGGGTGCATTAAGAAGAGCGTCTCCAGCAGGTCGAGGGAGGGGATCCTCCCCTTCTACTCAACCCTGGTTAGGCCGCATCTGGAGTACTGCGTCCAGTTCTGGGCTCCCCAGGACAAGAGGGATGTGGAGCTGCTGGAGAGAGTCCAGCGCAGGGCTACCAGGATGATCAGGGGCCTGGAACATCTGCCCTGTGAGCAAAGGCTGAGAGAGCTGGGTCTGTTCAGCCTGGAGAAGAGGAGGCTGAGGGGGGACCTGATCAGTGTGTATAAATACCTCANGAGAGTCCAGCGCAGGGCTACCAGGATGATCAGGGGCCTGGAACATCTGCCCTGTGAGCAAAGGCTGAGAGAGCTGGGTCTGTTCAGCCTGGAGAAGAGGAGGCTGAGGGGGGACCTGATCAGTGTGTATAAATACCTCACGGGAGGCAGTGAGGAGGAGGGAGCCGGCCTCTTTTCAGTGGTGGGCAGCGATAGGACTAGAGGAAACGGCCACAAACTGAGGCACCAAAAGTTCCATAGGAACTTAATAAAAAAATTCTTAATAGTGAAGATGACAGAGCCCTGGAACAGGCTACCAAGAAAGGTTGTGGAGCCTCCTTCTCTGTAGATCTTTAAAATCTGCTTGGACGCAGCCCTGTGCCACGTGCTCCAGGTGATCCTGCACGTGCAGAGGGGTTGCAGTAGACTATCTCTAAAGGTCCCTTCCAACCTTAATGATTTTATGATTCTTTCACCACGTTTTAAGGCTCACCGCATAGTACCAGGCTCTCAAAATGCTGCCAGTTAGATTAGGAATCAAGGTTTTGATTCTGTAACCAAATACTTAATAGGCACAGTGCCCTTCCACTGACGCAAGGCTTCACCCCCAGCCAAGTCTGGTGAGGACGTGGAACTGCTGAGATTGGGGCCCTCATGCTGGACTGCCACCTGCAAAGGAACTGAAAAACTCTCACCAGCTAGAGGCCAAGTACTGCAAAACTTCTTTAAAAGTCTCTTTTTAAGGAGTCCAAAAGAGATGTGTACTTGCTGTGGCTTACGCTCAAAACATCTCCAAAAGTCTAAAGGCTACGGTGCTGCAATAAATACTTTAAGAACTACTTTAAACTTGGAAATTTATAGCTAAACAACAGAGAGATTTATTTGCAAGGGTTGGATTCCCTTTACATAATATTAGGATGATTATTTGATCTCTGCACTGGTAAAGCAGACACATGATGCTATGCCAAGACTCTGGCTCAGTAAAGTACTGCACAGGAATACATTTGACAATTTTTAGTGTTACTTTTAATATTAAAATAGTCTAATTAAAATTAATTAAATCTGTCCCTTCTTACTTCTCAAGAAAGGGTGGGTGAGGCCCTAAAAGCATCATGCAAAGCTTTTGCTTACTGTGTGGCTTCAGGAGCTAGGACTACTCCAGGGTCTGTCTCAAATGAGTGGAATCAATAAATGCCCATCACTTTTGAGAAACATTTCATTATCAACCAATCTCAGCTTCCCAATCTGGATAGATATTTTGAAAGTCAACTCTACTACCACCAGGCTGAATTAGTTTCAGGAGTCTTTGAACTTTAAACAACCCAGAACCTAATTACTAAATTAGAGAGCAGATAAAGAAAGTCTACTTTCAGATGCTCCATTTCCCATTCAAAGCCATCAAATGCTCTAAATTAAGAGGGCAATTATCCTTCTACTTCATACAAACAGCTACTCTTTGTGTCATTTTCTTCCTTCAGCTGAGCCTTCAACAATAAGAACTGGAAAAGAAATTTGGCAGTATTGAAAAGCATGTTGTTGAAGGGCCGCTTAATGACTTTGAATCCCTTTTCTGTTTGGATAAAATGTACTCATTTTTTGTTAGGGATACAAACGGCATGAAAACCATACTACTAGTGGAAAACGGCTATGTGAAATTTGGATACGAGCATGTAATTTGTCTTCCAAACACTTCAGTTCCTTGGATTATTCACTTTATTGCCAATCTAAGCAACTAGTAAGTCAAAGTAATTTCTGGCAAGAAGTTCCAGCATGCACACGTTAAGTAGTTTTAAAGGCACAGGTCATGGACAACACCATGTCTGTACTGGACATTCTTGCAGAGCTGCCATCTACTTCTGATAGCCAGCAGCCATGAGGAAAGGTCACGGAGAGCAAAGCACGGAAGCCCTCAAGCAGGAGCCAGTCTGCTCATCCGCGGTGCCTTCACATGGTAAATTCAACTGGAGCTGGAGGGAAGGGTTTTGCAGATAACACACAAACCCACGGGAAGCAGAGACCCAATGGGACCAGAAAGGGGTTTCATGAGGAAGTCGCCTCAGGAGAGCTGCACCACCAGAACAGATGCCTGCAGCCACTGAGGCCTCCTGGGCCTGTAGGGCAAGCTGGGTCACAACAGCACAGCTGAGCTCGTGCCACGTTAGAGGCAGAAACTGATTTTCAGTCCTAAGCTGCTTCACTTTCGAAAGTTAAATCCAACCCTTTTATCCTCCCCTTAGAAAGGGTCAACTTTTTCTTGTAGTCTGCAGAAGGTGAAGGAGAATTTGTACTACTGAGATGGAATGGGGTCACCTAAAAAGCCAAGTCAATACGTGGAACAACAGCTCTAGTGCGTGGCCTCAACTAGGCTGGCAAACATTTATCCCAGGAAAGCTATACTAAGACTTTGAAAAGTTTGATTTTAAAGTCTAGTTTTAGCCACAGTTTCCTTAATTCTTTTGAAGTTTTTTAATTAAAAAGACAATTAAATCTGAGCTGTATCTGTTGTGGTTAGAGGCCATGGGAACCTGATGATTCACATACACTTAAGAAACCTTTGTAAAGGGATCGGCATTGTGCATTGTTTCAGTCTGTCACATAACACCAAGAACACAGAACTAAAATTATAATTGCAGCACTTGAAGAGCAATCTTTTAACATTTTCCACCCTCCTGCTAACTGACTTGTGCAGTGTTAGAGAGAACTTGTGAGGAACCCCATGCCAGAGACACCTTTACCAGTTATGATTAGGCTGTCCTTTCTGTTTCCTCTGCTGTTACTTTGTGTGTGCTATCTGACAGAGGCAGAAGAACAAAATACCTCCTCTAAAACCCACACTGAGGTTCCTGATGAGCTTCTCATTTGAAAAAGGTCTACCCACAGAAAAATTGCTTTACCATAGCACTGTAACATATTCTAGTGAATATGTTTTGCCTGGACAGTGTGGGCTGAGTTTATTGCAATGAGTTTCTACTCAACAAAAGAGGAAGGCGACTAGTCCTATGATTCTTGACTCCTTTTCCTGTTGTGAAACAAACTTGAAGGGTGAGCAATCCAGAGGAAGAGACACAACACAGACTTGCCCCCTTTGGGTCTCGAGGTGGTGGGGTGGAGGGAATCAAGAGTTTCCTGATCCCACACAACAGTCCCCACTGTACACAAAGAGACCTAGAAGAAGCCCCGTTTATCTTCGAGAATAAGAGTAGATTTGTCTCTCTCACTTACGTGCACTTTTAATTTGTTTGCAACTGTTGTTGACATCATGATGCAACAGATGATGGTCACCAGGATGAAGTAAAGCGCATACATGAAGCGAGTGCTCGTTGACTGCTTTATCTTGGGGCAGCATTTGCAGCACAAGGCACAAGCAGCAGTACCACAACAGCAGGCCAGCTGGAAAGCAAGACAAAAACGTAAGTCACTCCATCACCACTGCTTCCTAGGAATTCCTATTCCTAGCTTCCTATTGCCCAAGTCACACCGGGAAGCTGGGAGACTTCCTATGAATCTCCAGAATTTCTACAGTCATTTCCTCCCATCTGATCAGTACTGAAGTACAGACTGTTTTGTTTATTAAAACTCACCAGCTTTAAACATACAGATTTCTAGTTTTCACACACACTAAGGATGAAAAGGAGTATGAACTGCTCCTGATTTCTTAATCCTACTTTCTAATATCCCTTTGCAGTTTATGGTCCTGGCATGTTTTGGCCAGAAGAACAGTCATCGCAGTGATCAGGCTCTTTCCCATAATAAACTCTCCTGCCTCCACAGTGAATAAATAAATTTGTGCAAGAAGGATACAGACTGCAGATGTTTGCTTTTAGCACACAGACAAAATGACTGTGTTTCTGACACAAGCTGGAAATGGGAATGTTGCTTCACAACAAGCTGTACCGATGCATTTTTCAAAGTCATACTGTACTTTCATTTAAGGGGCAGTAGGTACATACAGCAATACACTGTTTTTATTAGTCCCCAAACTTTCTGTCCTACTAAGGACTGCAAATTCAAGGTGGGGCACTGCTTGAACCACACTTTGGGATAGCTGTGCTCAAGGCTTTATAGCAAAAACACTTAACAGTGCTAAATCTTGGGCAGTAGAGGAAGAACATGGAAATTCAATTTCTTTCTAGCTCACCGCAAACAAAGTAAGAGAGAAGTGAGTTCAAAGATCACATACATGTGTGTGTGTGTGTCTGTGTGTGTGTGTGTCTGTGTGCACAAAAATAGAGGCACTGAGGCCATTCTGCCCTGTGTTTCCTCAGCCCTGCGAGGTGTTGCAGGGCCGAGCTGCAGCTCTGCCCAAGTGTTCAGGAAACACTGCTGCTACCCAGCAAGTAACTGTCTATGGAGGCCAACGTTTCTTAGCCCTTGCAAAATGCAGTTTTTTGTTTTTTTTCTCCCCACCAAGGGTTATTCCTATCAGCAACAGCCACATTTAAGTTGCCCTGGCCAGCTTCATTTGTTTGTGGCTGCGTTTTCAGCCACCAACCCATCACATGCTTTTTTCCTCCCAAGTTACTTCCTCTTTTAATACTGAAAACCCAGAGAAAAAAGCAACAGCTTGAGTAGTTTCAGATATGCATCTACCTTGGTTGGTCAAAGAGCCCTGAACCACTTTGAAAAAGTGTCTTGAAAAGACCCACAGCTTATTATTTCCTTGCAGTTATTATCAGCAGCAACACCCAAGCCCAGGCTTCCTGCTCTGGCCCCACACAACAGGTATCCTCAAGGAAACCAGCTCTCTCCCACTGATGGCTGCCCAAACACACACAGATCGAACTGTGGAGAATCAACAGAAAGAGTTCATGGGACATTCAAGACAGAATAAAAAGGACTACGTGCATAAACACTTTGTGCAAGCGTACAATGGAATGCAATGGGGGTTAAATGGATATTTTAATTTTTATACATACTGAAATTAACATGTAAAGTATCAACCACTAGACAAAGAAGTAACGAAGCTATGCCAAATTACTGATTCGGCAAACAGATCGAATAAAAGTATTTCAAGCCAAGAATGTATCAGAAAAATATAAGCCATCCATCTAAGAATTACGGGGGGAGGGGAAAGGACTAAGACTAGAGCTCTTTTCAATCTGTATAAACTTCAAGGTTCAAACTGTCCAGGATGAACTTCAGCTGCTGGCTACATGCACCATAAGGATAAAAGCTATACTAAAGAATGAAAAAGGTTTGCAGCTTTGGCATTTGTCAGCGTGAACAGGGAACAGCAGTTTCCTAAGCCAGGTGCTACGCAGCTCCTCTGCCAGTGAAACCTCACTGTGTCCAGCACCGTGTCTGCTATTCCAGTCCTGGGTCTCTGGAGCTGGTATTTAAAGCAGCAAAGTCTTAAATAGAACATAACTCATTTATACTTTGTACCACGCTATTTAGAGAGACTTTAATGACAGCTTCTAATAGCTGCCACGTAACCTGCGAGTTGGCAGTGCTTGTGAAAAAACATCCACGTGGCCACCTTATTTCAGACGCACTCCTTTATGCATTCTGCATAGCCATGGAAACCCTAGAAAGCTGCTTGGGCTGCTGCACCGCAGCCTCAAGTCTGTCTCTGTCTCTTTTTATTTTACTTTATTTTATTTGAACTCTGTCTATGAGCAGCTACATTCCAACGCGGACCGCAGTCAGATGGGCGTTATCCAACTGTAAATGAAAACAGTCTCTGTGTCATGAAGCAAGATCCTAGCAGCACATTGCTGGCCGGAGAGCTTTCCAAGATGCTACCTTTGCAGGTCCACATCCACAGCAAGTTCCCTGCTAGTGAGGTTGCCCTAAAGGACAGCTACCCTCTGAAGTCTCTCTAATGCCACATTTCTTACCGTGGGCATGGCCCAACTCCCTTCACCTGGCTCTTCCTCACCACTGTAAGGCTGGCTGCCCTGGCCAGGCACGTGGGAGCTGCGATGCAGAAGTGCAGCTGCTGAGAAACCTCTTAACAGGTTAAAAAACAGGCTGTGAAGAAACAAATAATGTCACCAACATTTTACACGTTGCTTAGCTGATCATTAAATAAGTCTGCATGAGAAATGTGGATCACTTCTAATTTCTCTGGAATGCTAGTTTTTGCCAGAGCCAGTCAAAAGCTGAAAATTCACCTCCCAGCACAAAATCCGGGGGAAAAACATGAAACAAAACACAATAACTCTCATCCTGTCTTAAGAGTGACAAAAGCTGCTCTGGAGAGGATGAGTCCTCAAAAACAAAATGTGCTTCATGCTTTTCAGAACAAACCAGATACCTCAAGACTGCAACCTACAAGCAGGCAGGCCTGGATGCTCCTACTCCACTCCTGCAGAGCCGGGAACTGAGCTCTCCATTCCAACATGGGATCCTGGGAGTCCCAGGTCCCTGAGGCCAGCACCACCACAGCGGGCAGCCCCCCTGGCTCTGGCAGCAGCTGGCCACATCTGCAAGAGATTCTGGCTCAAACTCTCTGGTCCAGAGACTCCCACAGTCAGCACGAGCATCTCCGACCATCCCCACTCCCTCTCCAGTCTTACACGTCCTTTTTGCTTTGGGGCAAGCATCAGTGCCTGACAATAACTACAAGGACTGCATAAATATTTGTGCTTTCGCAAATGTTTATGAGCAGCCTCCCACTTTGTGCCGATCTGCTGAGCAGCCAGGCCTCCACAAGGCAGCCTGGTTATCTGCTCTGCTCACCGCTGCTCTCAGGGAGCTCAAAGAGGCTGCAACGGCAGCACATCCGAAACGCTGAAATTTGAGCATCCAGGACACTTGCTGAGAGCTCAGTGGTTTGAACCGACCTGATAAGGGTTCAACTGAAACACTGACTTCAATTGTACTGGCTCTGGAAAGCAGTGGTGGAGACTTTTTTTGTGAAAAACAAAGTACTTATCCAATGCATGAAAGTCCTTCTCAGTTGCCTGGGGACACTTGCTATGCAACGACAAACAGATCTATCGTTTCAACGGAGGCGATGGCAGAGCTCAATCCTGTGTGCTTGGACCCAGCCAATTCCCCCACTCTGCACGGACACGCTCCAGGGATATTTTCCTATTGTTTCTTTTGAGAAGAGCACAGAAAGTCCTGTACGAACAAGGGAGCATTTTGCATCCGCACAGCGGAGGGGAGAAGCTGAACACAGTGCAGCATGGACACACAACAGACCAAGCCAAGGCAAAGCCCTTCTCCAAGTACCTGGATGTATTTGCACACTCCTGTCCTACTTCAGCCTGGGGAACACCTGTAGTTAGGAAAATAATAACAACAAAAAGCTATGTGGATTAACAGAAGAGGGTTTTTAAAAGCAGGTTTAGCTCCTTGCTAAACATGAGCTACCCCTTCCCTTCAATGAACAGTCATCACCACATCCTCAACATCTGCCATGTGTAAATTCTTGCAAGTCTGTGATCCAAGCTGATTAATCAGCTTAATTAGATACGACAGTAACGTTAAGCATGCACATAACTATTTACATATAAGATTGGGCTATAAAATGGGTGTGTTCTGCCTCCTGCTTTTATAGACACGGTGACAATTTAGGAAGGTATTTTCCAGAGACGCTTCCAAAAAAAATCTCCAGGGTCACTGAAAATAGTTTGTGTAGCCATTAAAAGAAAGTCCATTAAAACTAAGTATCTCAGCAGAGGAGTTTCAGGATCATTGCCCAAAATAGTCTATGGTATTTTTAATATACACAAACCATAGAAAAGTCTCAAACTTGTCATGGCAAAGTGCTCTCCCTTTTGGGAGGCTTACACAGAAATGACAAAAATCAAAGTGAAGAACAGAAGATTAAATTTAAAAAAAAATGCATACTTAAATGTAATGAAGACTTAGCAGTGCTTCACCTCTTTCTGTACACATTTCAGCCTGAACAGTGCAGACAGGGAGGTTACGTGCCTTCTGGCCAGTTTGCAGGGCAAAGGAATGTGCCTTGCTGTAGATTCTTTTCATGAGGGTTTAGTTTTTCATAATTTGTTTGATTACTTGACTGCCAGAATTAGCCTGGCCATACAGTTTGCAAATAATGTGGTCAGCAATCTGTTAATAGCAAAGTCTACCAAAAACAGCCCAAATACTCGTGCATTAAAGCAGGCTGAGAGAGAAGGCAGCACAGCCCGCTCAGCTCATGTCCAGAAGCAGTTATGTCCCAGCCCTTGGGCTTTTAATTTCAGGAAGGAACATCCAGCAGAGAAACCACCCTGCTAGGGGTAGTTTTGTCTTTTATCAGTTTTAGCTGGCTTCTCAATGCTTCTTTCTGTAGTATTTCTTTAGTAGTAGTATTCGTGACCACACAACCCAAGCCAAGAGGTTTTGACCAGCGTAGTAGGGAATTAACCAGCAAACTATTTTTAGGAGTGCACCTCACGCTGCGAGACACCCGGGCACTTCGGTGCCGCGAGGCCAACGTGCTCCAAGCTGCATTTCTGAAACGAGGACTTTGTGCCTGGCACAGCGGGGCAGGACTGCTATACAGCAGGACCTAATTCAAAGCCCAAATGAGAAAGGAGCTTCCAGGGCAGCAATGGGAGTGAAAACAGGGACAAGTTACTGCTGTCCAAGCTCTGGCAGAGCAGAAATTAAGCCCAGGACTGAAGCGAGGATGAAGCTCTTTTGTCTTTCTGCTCAAACATTACTAAGTGGTGACTCAGCTCAGCGTTAGAAAAAACAAAACTGAAATTCCGCCATTGGAGAGGGCTCCTCTCTCTTGGTGATTTTGGAAACTTCAGTGACGTGTTATGACAATCCTTCAGTTTGATACTGACCTCAGTATCGCCCTGTTCCAAGCAGTTGGAGTACCCCTCAGTTACTGGCTTCAGTACAGACTGTCTGGATTTGACATCATGAGGGTCAGTTTTTCCCTCACAGTGGTTAATTATTTATCACCAAAATAGAAAAAAAAAAAAAAAAAAAAAAACACCTTGGACATTTGTCTGCTAGTTTCTAGGCAGTGGCTCTTGCTGCAGTGTCCTTTGCTAACTTAGAGCCTTTCAAACATCTGCGTTTTCTCCCTTATCAAACCTTATATCTCCCTTATCCCTGTGCTTATCAAACACAGAGCTCCAGCTGTTCAGCCCAAGCCTCTCATGCGAAAGCTCCGAGACGTCCTCCAGCACCTCCAGATTCCTGTCCCTGTTCTGTTATCTTCTATTCCACATTTTTCTTATCTCCAGGTGGTTTCAGCTAATACCATAGCCACATCTTGGCCTTTCATGGCAAGGCAACTGGAAAATGAAAGCCAAGCCAGCAGTAACAAAGCCTGACAATTTAAGGCCATCGCTTCCCTCCAATGAGCAGATCTTCTCCAGCTTAGTGCTGATGTTCAAGAGCAGCACTCTGACAGAACAAGGCATCATGGTGCATGGCCAGGGATGGCCAGAACCAAAGACATGTTACACCAAGATAACTGCTTAAATCTGTAAAACACAGCAGCGAGGAAGCAGTTAAAACAAAATCGCCATATATATTGATTTAAAATTATGCAGCTGGAACAGCTGCTTCAGTTTTGAATGGGTTGACAGCTCGAAGCCATTTCACAAAGATGTTTCCTCTTTAAAAGGTATTTTGGTCCCAATTTCAAGCAGACTTCTAGGGCAGGAAGGATATTAACACCTTCATACAAACTGACAAAGCCAGCAGGCTGGAATGAAAGGTTAACTATTCCTCGCCACATTATATTAAAGCAAAGCAAAACCTCCTAATTGCCCAAAACCTTGCTGAAGATCTTCCAGGGACATCACAGCCAACTTCACCCACATTTCCAGCTTGAGAGATTCCAAATGGGACCTGCTTATGACTTTCTATTGCTTATTTTTCTGTTGAGAATTGTTAAACACCATTGCAGTGACTACTTGGTATATATTTTGAATATTATTTCTGAAACACCGTTCTGCCAAACCGTAATAAAAAGGGGATAAAACATGCAAGTTAGGGCTTTTTCGGCAGAAGTTAGCAACAGATCCCGTGTAAATTTGATTTAGCGGATGATATATTTGGGGTCAGTTTATTAGGAAGAAAGAGAAACGAAAGCCTGTGATCTGCAGGCTCTGGTGTGTGTGTGTGCAGAAATCTGATTGCTAATCTAATTGCTAACCGTGAAGATCAGCCCCGTGCAGCCATGACTAACCCGGCTGATAACGGGATCTCCAGGCGTGTCAGGGCTCTCCGCAAAACAAACACGGAGCCAACCTGCAAATGTCCCTGTAAGCAGCACAGGCCTGAACGCGCTTGCACAGAGGCAGCAGCACCCGCAGTGATTTTGTGCTAAATGAGTGAGGTTACAGAGAGCTGCATTTCATAGCAAAGCACTCGCTCAGTTCAAGGGTATTCTTGACAAACAAGGGCACCCCTGAAACCCGTTTCTTGGGCGACCTGCACCCCTCCATTGGCACAAAGGCAGCAATAAGGACTTGAATCCATTCCCAGAGAAATGCTCCCTTGTCCCTACAGCCAGGCACCCGTCCTTGCACAGCTTCCCTCTGCAGCTGCTGCTTCAGCTGGCTCTGCAAAACCACAACGCAACCAAGTGACAATTACTGCGGGACACAACAAGAGGCAAAACCTGGAAAATTATGTGGCAACAGGCGTGAGGAGCAGCATGTCCTGCCTCCTGAAGCCTCCCTGGGACAGGATTCCTTGGAAGCCAAGCTGACAGAGCGAGCGCCAGACGAGGCAGCCCCTCGGTGATCTCGCTGTCGCCTGGTTGCTTTCACCTCCCTTTCCAGTCGCTGGCAAATACATCAGCAAATTTTTTCCAAATATGACAAAGAGATGGGGGCCTCCAAAATATTACGCTCTTCCAATTTCCATAAGAACAGAAGCAAATGATCTTTTAACCCTCAACAAAGAAAAAGCTGCAGAA